GAAAAAATAAATTAATCTATATTAATAAGCCACTTTGGTTTGTTCATTGTGGTTTCATTAATTATAAAAAATAAAATAAAATTAAATATTTTTTCTTTTTTTATATGAATAATTTAATTTAATGAGGAACCAGATTCAATTCCAAAAACACCACAAATTTTTTAAAAAGAAATAGATTGTTGATTATGCAAAAATAATATTTGAATTACTTTTTTGAATTTGTAATTAGCTCAATTTATCTTGATAAAAATTGCTACAAATATGTGCCTTAGATGGAAACGAGAAGAAAATGGATAGATATCTAGATATATAGATATAAGCAAATAATATCAAACCATACATGTATAAATCATATATGCATATATAATATACATCATTTTTTATTTATATATTTGTTTATTTACAATTACTTGAGATTATCAACAAATTCAGCAATCGTAGAAACAAAGAAAGAACCAATAACAAAAACCATAACATTCCTAGTAAAGCGTATGAGTGCTTCTTTTGCTTCGGCTTCTCCACCCCTTTTTTCTAAAGAAGAATACCAATTTTTAATTCTTTGTTTTAAGGAAACATTTGAAGGTGGCTGGGGTTGAGCATTTAGCTGTGGGTTCAGATTATGAATATTGTTGATTACTTCGATTCTATTTTCAGAGTCGTCATATTCTTGCTTGTTTAAACTTTTATTTGTCTTTTCTTCTTCAACCTCAGGGCTAATTTGTATAATTTGTTTATCATCAAGTGGCTTCGTTTGTTCTTCATTGGGGCTGTTTGAATCTTCAGGATTAATTGAGGTATTTACAGAACTTTGAGGAGTAGCTTCTAATGTATTGGGAACTTCACCTTGTTGGTTTGACGAAGGAGTTGCTTCTTCTGTAGGATGAACTTCGATTGGCGCTTCATCTGTAAATAGTGAGTCCTGCATTTGATGCAGTTCATTACTAAAATTATTTGAGATTTCGACAGCAGCTTTAACTTCATTATCATCATTTTTGACCCAATCGGGCTGATTATGTTCAGTCATTTATCAAAAAATTTTGGATTTCTGTATTAAAATGTTCTTTTTCAAAAACTTCGGTTGTCGTTTAATAATTTCAATAGAAAAATACAGCAATTTTAAAAAAGAATTTAATTAAAATTAAAAATGTTTAATTATTTTAAGCTTAATTATATTTATATATATTTATTTTATTGCAATATTTCCATATTTTTAATTGAGATACCAATGAAATTTTGTGTATTTAAATTTGAAATAAACTTTAGAAAAAAGATAACAGCTTAATATAGTATTAAATCCAGTGTATTTCATTAGGTTATTATGATACATACAAAATATAAAAAAGATTTTTTTTATTGTTTGATTGCTCAGAAAAGGAGATATCGTCTTTTTTATTTATTTCAAATTTTATTCTCAAATAATAAATAATTGTTTTGCTTTTTTTTATTATCATATTAATTATTGCTAAGAATATATAAGCATAAAATTTTTTATGATAGAATATATAAGAATGACCAACTATAATCACAAAAATTAAAAACAGCATTTTCTTGAAAAAAAATATAAGATATCAAGTAATATATTAAATTTTAAATATAAATGTATTATTTAAAATATATTTTTTTATTAAAATACAAACAAATTTTCATATTATGATACTTTTAACATTTTTATTTTTTTCAGAATTTCAAATATAAAAAAATTTTGAATTGTTAATTTTGAATTTAAAAAAATTTTGAATTGTTAATTTTGAATTTAAAAAAATTTTGAATTGTTAATTTTGAATTAAAAAAAATTTTGAATTATTAATTTTCCTTTCAATTTTTGTGAGATAAAACTGGTTATATTAAAAAAATATACAAATTATAACTTTTTTGATGTGGTACGAAACTGACTTTTTCGACCTAATTGGTTCAGATCAAGATATTTTTCAATTCGAAACCTTTCCTATTAATCTCTCGGAGGAGAATCCTTCGTCACCAGAACCAAACCAAAAAGATGATAAACAAATCTCAACTAATCTGTATGATCCTACACAAGGTAAGATTATTATTGAACCACAACAAAATAAAAATCATCCTCAAATACCTTCAGTACAAGAAAAACTTCCATTAAACACTTCTTTAAATATTTCTCCAGGTAATCAAACAAATTCATCTAATGACACCAAGTATCTCTTTAGGCGTACCAAAAAAACAGAGAAACCTTCTAAACCCAAAAAGATAAAGATCAAATTGAACAGTAAAGAAGAAAATTTCAGAAATTCATTGTATAAAATATTCTTGGAAGGCATTGATGGAAAGACTATATTGAAAAAGGAAATGGTTCTCAGTATTCATGAAGTAATAAAAAATCCTTTAGGATTAGATAAGATTAAGAGACAAAATCGTCGTTGCGTTTATTCTTATTTTCAAGATTTTGCTAATGATTCTCAGCGAATCCTTGAGTACACCAATAAAAACAAGGATTATATTTCAAAATTGGTCGGACTATCTGATTATGTGGCTAGAAAACCCACCAAAAGTCATTCCAAATTTTAATTTTATTTAAATATCATTTTTTTTAAAAATAAATCCAGATTCGGATGTTTTATGATGAATTTTTTTTCTTGCTTAAGATTACTTGAAGGTGTAGAATTCATTTCATAGAATTTTAGCTAGGTTTGGTAATCAACTTTCAGAAAAAAAAAAATATCACCGTAAATTGAATTAGTTTATATCACATAAAAAATATGCCATTTTCTTTCACAAAAACTAATAGAATTATCTTTCTATGTAACTGCTAAATTGAAAATTCAATTAAAATTTTAAAACGTTAACTATATTAAACAACACATATATGATCATCAAATAAAATTCACCAATTTTTTTCCTTAATTATAATTATAATAACTATTAACACAAATATGAAAATCATATTATTACGAAATAAAATATATACTAAATAAAAAGTAATGTGCTTTAAAATATTAATAATACAATACAATAAAATAAATTTATAGAGATAATTAATATTTGTTTTAAAGGAAATTATTTAGTTTTTTTTGCTTATTTATCAAGAAATAATAATTTATAATATTATAATAATTTCTGAGGTACTTAAAATTTTTGAAACGCATTTATCCTTTATTAAACAAATAATAAATACAAAAATAAACAAATAATTACATTTGATTTATACCATATTATTTAAAATTAAGATTTTGCAATATTTAATCTCCAAATAAAATAATAAAATATATTTAAAAAAAAAAACTTTTGGAATATTTTAGTTATTAATAACTGATTCCATAATTAATTTTTGTAAAATACTCAACAACAAAGTTATAAAATTTCTGATAGCATAATTAGTATTTAATTTATATTTGCATAAAATATTATCACTTTCTTTATATAAGAAAAAAGAGAAAACAAAATAAAAGATATTATTCAGACATTTACTTATTTAATGCTTCATCGAATTGTCAACCAATTTACATGATTTACAATCGTTACAATTGCATATACATCCGAATCCAGCAGAGTCTAGTTCGTGTCCAACATGACAAATTGATGCGCATGCACAACAAACAATAAAATTATTATTAAATTTTTTAGAACAAGTTTGACAAATGAACAGGGGATGATTATCTTTAGGATTATTAGACATAATACATGACTTAACATTGTCAGGAACTAATTGGCATTTACATCTCATATTACTATTGGGACCAAGACAATCATCAATCAAACCAGAACCGCAATGACAAATCGCTGGAATATAAGGATTGAGTAACTCAAATGAATGGTTTTTGTGGCAAGTATTACGACAATTTTCACAAACAGTTACAGGAGAAATATCTGCTGAATGAGCGTTTCCTTTATTCAGACTTTGAGAAATATTGCGAGTACATGTCTGACAAATGAAGAATTTACCTTGGACAGGTTGCAATCCATATTTGAGAAAAGAGCAACAGGCTGTAGAATTTGGATTAAAAGAAAAAGGAGGAGCAGCATAAGAAAAAGATGAGTCATTTACATCTTGATTATTTTGAACTGACGACGATTGTTTGCTTTCAATATCAAAAGAAAAAGGACTTCGATATGGCTTATATAACGGAGATAATGATAAAGATTCATCCTCAAGTGGATTTGCAGGAACAAGCAATTCAGGCGGAACATAAATTGAGTTATCTGAACTCTTTGGAGGAAATGTAACTGACTGCTCTATTTTCTGCCCTTGGTGCTGATCTATAGGTTGAATATCATTTTGTGGATGATAAGATGGGACTTGATTTTGCGGTTGCGGTGGCTGCTGAAAAGGTGGTTGTGGATATTGATTTTGTGATTGTGGCTGCGGTGCAGGATATCGCTGTTGAGGATATTGCTGGGGAATTTGTTGAGGAATTTGTGATGCTGGCGGATAATACAAATTTTGATTTGGTCTTTGTTGATAATTTGAATGATGATGATGGGAAGGATTTGATGGAGGACGTGCAAAATTTTGATGCTGATAATAAAAACTTGTATTTTGATTTGGATGTGCGAATATACCACCATATTGATTCATTGGAGGATTTTGGTAATAACCTTGTCCTTGATATCCCTGAGAAGCAAAATTACCATTTCCATCTACAGGATATTGAAAATGGTTACCATATTGATTTGGGAAATTTCCATTTGGGCGAGGATACGTCATTTTATAAATTATAAGAAAATGAAAATTTTCCTTTCAAAAAAAATTCGGTGGAAAAAAAAATCTATAGAATATTTTGTGAGAACGTTGAAATATACGATTAAATGTCAAAGAATTTTATTTCGTTTTTTTATTTTTTGTTTTTAAAATATCTTGCATTAAATACTACTTTATTAATATTAAATACTCTTATATTATCGATTATTATATAATATGCTCGAATCTACAATAATCTTTATATTTCTACTCTTGAAGAGATTCTAAACTCCATAATTCCAAATCTATTCATATCATTCTTCTTATTTTTTTTTTTAATAAATAAATGAAAGGAGTGGTAGCTCAAATGGTAGAGCAATGGACCGCAGTTCCATAGGTTATCGGTTCGAGTCCGGTCGACTCCTCTTTTTTGACAAATTTCACCAAATTTTGAATTTCTAACATAGAAATGACATAACACATAAATAAAAGAACAACCCAAATCAAAACAGTTTTTAATTTTTTATTTTGTCAATGATAAAAACATAAATCTTTCAAAAACTTCACAAAAAACATCCAAAATAAAAAAAAATCCTACCACTTTTTATAAAATTTTAGGCCAAAATTAGGTCAAATTAATGTCAAAAAAAAAAAAAAAAAAAAAAAAAAAAAAAAAAAAACATTTAAAATGAAACAAAAAATCGCACAATCATTAATACTATACAATGAATCATTTTGCCAGTTGAAAACAACAAAAATTTTAAAAATTTAATCAATAAAAACAAATATTTATTCTATTACAAAAGGATGCTCAATGAATATAATATTTCCTTGTGTTGTTAATACATATATACAATCCTCCGACCTACAATAATCCATGTGACAGACTGTTGAATTAGTATGTGTCAAAAACTTCATGTTGCTTGGGTCAAACGCTTCAAAGTATCCAATGTTTCCTTTCGTATCAACGAAGATGATGTAATCGAAGTCCTTCAAAGATGACACAGCAGTCCAGCTGTAAATCGAGCTTTTATTTTCATCCAAGAAAGATATTCTTGATTCTTTAATTTTGTTTCCATTTATGCTATAGACATCGAATTTCGAACAACCGAAATCGACAACAATGAAGCACCAACGAGGTGTTATTACCATTCTTCTAGGTTTTTTATGATTCAAGCTTAAAATAGCGGAATTATTATTAAAACTAGAACTAACACAACTTAGTTTTATATTATTATTTTCGTTGTTTTCATTGTTGTTTGAAAGATCGATTACGGCGGTCTTTTGTAACGTGCTCAATGAATGTATGTGTATCAGTCCGCTCCTCGAAAGGACGGCAATCACGTTGAACTGCTGAGATACTTGGCAGTGAAGGATGACATCCTCAAGTATGATGATCTCGCCAAGCTTCTGCGGAAAAGTAAGCGTGTCGTAAACATTGATGATCGAACGATCCTTGATTAATAGGAAGTACTTCTGCGATCCGTAGATGGAGTCGAAGTTAGAAAACATGGAGTTGCTGGAGTTCATCATGCTCATGACATGCTTTATCTTGGACCGCTGCAGCTGAAGCTGCTCGTTCTCGGCATCAATCATAATGAAGTCGCTGTCGTTGGGAATCTCATCGTCAAAGTCACTGTCTTCTTCGTCGACAAAATTGCCAAGATTAGAATGAATGAAGATCTCAAAGTCATCGTCATTCGTGTAGTAGTTCTCGTAGTTGAAGCTGCTCGATGCAGCAGAAGCAGCTGCTTCGTTGTCAATGTCAGCAACACCGTCTGCCTTGTTGTCTTCAGCATTTCCATTTGCTGCCTTCTGCTGTGCACCATCTTTGTCATTACCTGCACCGTTCTCGTCATTCAAGTTGCCATCATTGCTGTACTCGTCATTCGCATTCGCATTATCATTGCCATTCTCATTTGCGTTTTCATCATTTGCATCACCATCAGCACCACCACCATCATTATTATTATTACTAGCATTGTTGTTGTTGTTGTTGTTGTCTGTGTTTTCATTATTGTTGTTACTTTCTGCTTGTTGTTGTTGTGATGCAGCTGGGTTTTTCTGGCTGTAGCTATAGGCAGGATTGAGATTGGCAGGCGGAATTGGTCCAGAATTAAGGTTGCTGATATTGTTGTTGCTGTCTTTAACATTAATCTCCACAAAATGCGATGTGAAGAACTTGTATGTGTGCAGCGATCCGTACTGGAAGATTGAAATCGACTCAGTTGAAGGCGAGAGAAGCAGGAGTCCTTTCTCGATTGGACAGGTGATTGTTCCAGGCGCTATCTTCAATGGAATTCTGCTTATTTCTTTGTTAATCAGGTCAGGCAAGTTCATGTTTATCACGCATGTAATGACCTTCCCTCTTGAGTCGATTGTCATGAAGCAGTTGTCAGCAATGCAGCTTGCATAAATAAGAGGAATTGAATGCACCTTCTTCTGGACAACTTTAAATTGTTGATCATCATTATCATCGTCAGTAGTACCACTTTTATCTTTAATTATTCGTGGCGGATGCAAGTCAGTAAAGAGCTGCTGTGGCATGATTCCGTAAAGTCTCATCATTGACAAAACTTGACGTTTTGCTTCAACAAGTAATGAAGCTTCATGTTCCCAAACATCTTGCATAATGAAAGGATGCAAATAATTATGATATTTAAGAGCAAGTTTGCCACTTTGCTTGCATCCCCAAATGAGGTCGATCCATTCGTTTAGCTTGGCTGAAACCTCGTCTGATTCGAGAAGTTTCCTATGTTTGTAAACAAGCTCGAATGGATTCGAACAGTTTTTGCTTAATTGGAAATCAGGAATATCAATGATTTTGTTGTTATTTTGGAAGATTTCTGGACAGAAATAGAATTCAGGAGGCAATTCTGAATCATTACATAAAGATAAAGAAGAGACAACTTTTTTATCAAATTTGAATCTTCCACTTTGCATCTTCAAATAATAAGAAGTGAAAGGCTCAATTCTAATCAAGCAATCTTCAACAGTTGAAGAAGGAACAGGAGAAGTATGGAACATTTTTTCAATTTCTAAATTAATTGCATCTTCAAACAATTCTTCATTTAATTCTTCTTCTTCTTGATTTTCTTTCTTTTTGGGCTGATAAGAAATTGGAAAAGAAAGATTTCTAGAAATGTTTTGAAGATCATTTGTTATTAATGGAAAGATTGGATATTGTAAAATATCATTAAAGGTTCTTCCACTAAAAGTATTCAAAGCCATTAAATAAGTAAAATTAGACATTTGCCCAGAAGCCCACAAAGAAGTAGTTCTTTGTTTATTTTCTAAGAAGTAACTTGAAGTCGATTCTTTTTGAACTTGCTGCATTGATAACAATGGATGATCAGCAAGTTGATTTATTAATTCATCATTTTCAACAGGTTCAAAATCAATCAAATAAGTTTCTCCATTAATGAGGAAGATTTCAATGGCAGTATTTTTTTGGTATCTTTTTCGTTTAAAGATACTCATTATTTTATGGAACTGAATATTAATTATTTTATTAGGCAACTTCAAAGTTGGATCATTTTCATTCAGTGGTATCTGATATTTACTATTACTATTATTTAAAACAAGACACATTTTATATGATGATAATAAAAAGAGTGCTTCTTTTGATTTCGTTGCTTTTATAATTGAACAAGGAAGAATGATTGAATATTTGTTCTTTTTATATTGTGAAAAACAATCTATATCTTCTTCTTGTTCACTGTCATCTTCTACATATTCAGTCTGTGTTTCAACATCATGATAAATCATTGAGTTATCATCATTTGAATGGGTCTGTCTAAGTTCCCAAATTTTAAATGATTTCTCTTTGATTACAGGCTTCGTTTTAACTGGACATAAATCAAAACATGAACAATTGTCTCTTTTGAAGAATGATGAAATTATTCCTTCATTTTCATTGTTGTTTTGCTTCTTGTAAAGTTGGATGATTAAATCTGGATTTCTTGGGAAAACAAAATTTTTTTCTACTTCATTTAATGCTTCTTTATATTTATCATGCCGACTGTTCATTCGAATCAATTCTTTTTCAATATCATAAACAGCTGTTTTCTCACCATTTCCTAATCCTTGCAAACTGTCAAATATCATCTTCTGTGCTGCTTCAAATGCACGAGAAAGGATTGCAAAGACCATCTTGTTTGAGAATGAAATTGAATTATCTTGAAGAATTCCTATTTTATTTTGAATATCAACCAAATAATTCAAACTTGTTCTTCTTTTATTTCTTGTTTCAAGATCAACTTCATTTTCATTTTCATTAGGATAATTAACTCTTATAAAGTCAGCTACTTCTTTAAATATTTGTAATGATGGATGCGGTTTTTCAACACAAGGAATCATCGATACCAATGTACTACATAATTTAGAGTCAACCCATTTATTTTCTTCATCAATTCTTAGTTGAAATGTCGGACTACTTAAAAACGTGCCTTGATTAAAACTGGTGAATGATATAAATGAATCAAAAGGCGGATTTCCATCTTTTTCTTTATTCTTTGGCGGTTTTGGTTGATGATCATCTTCTTGTTCTTGTTGTTGAACTGGATCCGTCATTTTACAAACATCTTCAAAAATACTTGAATTTGCACGCATTTTAACTTTATTTGCATTGGAATTCAAATCCAAGTCAGAATTAACATTGCTTTCATTGTACAAGTTTTTAACAGGCAGTGTTGCTCTTCTCATGAGTTGAGCACGATAAAATGGAGAACTTGAATATTCTTCAAATAAGGCACGATTCCGATCACAGACGCTTGAAAAGAAGATACTATTAAAAGCCATTCTTAAGAAAGAACCTTTATTTTTAACAATGTTTTCATTGTTGGATGCAAATATATGCTTTGATAAGACAAATGTTAATTCAGATTCAAACTCAAAAGCAGCTGTTTTCCAATCATTTGCTAATAACAAGACAACAGATAAAAAGTTCTTGAATTCACTACAAACATCAGGAAAACGTAAAATTTGATTAGCAAAGAATTCAGTAATAATTGCCAAATTTGTTTGAATTATAGTTTTATCTTGATTTTGGTCTTTAAATTTAATTTTAGAACCATAACTAGTATTATAAAGACCTAGAATGACTAGCCAAATACTCCAAAAAGTACTTTGTTCAACAGAGTTACTCAATTCAGGATCATTCAACAGTTCTTTAATAACCAAGACAGCTTTATTTTGTTCTTCTTGACCGAGAGACAAAGAAAGCAGACAGATTAATGAATATAAGTTACATTTTTCTTTTATATGATTCAATAAAACATTAAATACTAATTTATAATTTGAATTTAATTGTATCTGAATAGATGCAGTGGTTAGTAAATAATGAAGATTATTTTGACTTGCTAAAGAATAAGTGGCAAAGATAGCTGAAATGATAATATCAATATCATCAGTATTAAAGAAATAT